GGACGAGCCCGAGCCCGAGCCCAAGGCAGCGCCCTCGAGCCGGCCCTAGCGCGGGCGCAGCCATGTTGTCCCGCGAGCCATGTGACCCTACGGGTCACGTGGCCCCGCCCTCCTTAAAGGGGCCAAACTCCAGGCTGACTGAAAAAATGGCCTTCAGAGTTGCCCTCTCTCCGCCTCTCTTCAGGTACGTCTCGTTTAGAGCCCTTCTCCTTGGTTCTTCTGACAGAAAAACACAACAAAACCCAAAAGCCATGGCCTTCTGCAGCCCACGCGCCCCGCTATTATTTCTCGGTTGAAAAAATTATAATCAAGTTTATTGAGCATTTGCTACGTGCCAGGAAGTATGCTAGGTAAGCACTTCACTTTTTGAAATTTAATCCTCACAAGGATCCTGAATATTGGACTCACAAAACAACTAAGTGATCTGCCCAAGGTCACATGGCAAAGAAGTATCAAAAAGAGAGATTTAAACCCAGCCACGCTGGGTCTCTAACACATCCCTTCAAACCCTGAATTTTAAACCATTATGCTGTAATGTAGACAATTCAATAAGCTTACCTTAACAGGAAAATGGAATTTGAACGTGTTGAAGGGTACATCACCAAGGGACACAGAGAAATCCAGACTGTGGGAAATGTGCAGCAGTGTCTCCCAAAGTGTTCTCCCAAACCTCCTGGGAACTTGTTAGAAATGCAGTACTCAAGCAGAATCTCTCCAGACAAAACATAGAAATCTATGCTTTTAACAACTTCTCCAGATGATTCTAAAGCATACTGATGCACACTAACGTTTGAGAACCACTGTTTTGTAGGGCTCAATTTCTTCAGGGGAAAAAAAAAGCAAAACAAAAAAGTAGGGGGGACTTACAGATTAAAAATTGTACAGCCAATTGCAGTGTATATGAACCTTATCTAAATACTGATTCAAACCTACTAATGTCAAATTTTTTAGGGATAATCAGGGAAAAATGACCACCAAATCAAATTGTGATATTTGATAAAATTAAGAATTACTGTCAATTTTGTTTTTAGTTTTTTAGGAAGTGATAATGGTTTTTGTGGTTAGGTCTTTTAAAAGAATCCCATCCTTTGAGATATATGTATTTATAGATAGGTAGATAGATACTTAGATAGGTAGGTAGATAGATAGATAAAAAAAAGATAAGCTGTCATAGAGTTGCTTCCCAAAATATGGTGATTAGGGTATGGCTAGAGGTGAAACACAATTGGCCATGAGTTGGTCATTGTTAAAGCTGGTTTATGGGTTGTTGAATGTTTATTGTACTATTCTCGCTACTTGAGTTTATGTTTGAATTTTTTTCAGTATAAAGGAAAGTCCTGAGGCAATCATTTTGCAATCCATTCAAATATGGAATCATTATGTTGTACACCTGAAACTAATATATGTCAAGTCTATCTCAATTTTCAAAAAAACAGGTGAAATTTTTTTAAGTCTTTTCCTCCATGTTGACTATTTTACAGTTTGCCAGGCACTTTTACACATTTTCTTATTTGAAATCACAACCACCTGGCAAGAGACCTGCTACTACTGTACCTGTTCTACAAGTGATGAGGCTAAACTGTCAAAGCTTTAGCCAGGGTTTTATGTATTTACTGTGCACAAATATAGATTCTAGGCTTTAGGTCAAAGATAATCTTTGTCAGTCTCTTTGCCAAAGTTCAGTCTCCACCTAGGCTGTGTCTGCTGCCCTTCTGAGACCTGATCTGCTTTGATTCATGGTCCTGCTACACGATTAGGCAATAAACTCCATGAAGGCAAGGATCCTGCATGTTTGTCCCCGACTGTATCGGCAAAATTAGACCAAGAGCTGGCATTTAATAAACACCTAGTGAATATTTATTTAGTTAGTGGAAAAATTAATGGCAGTAATCATGACCTCTTTCTCTTAAAAGGAAACAAATTGTTGAGAAAATAATACAGATTTTAGACTCAGAAAGACTTGTGTTTAAAGCTGACAAGAGGTGTAACCTAGGCAAAAACTTTGCCTTTCTGAGCCACTATTTCTTCATGTGTGAAATGGGCATAATAATAGCACCTTCCTACAGATTTTATGAGGATTAAGTGAGATAAAGATGTAAAAGGCTTAGCATTTCACAGTCCTTCAAAAACAAAAGTTTGCCATTATTAACGATCATCATCACAGATGGAAACTTTGTTGATTCTCCGGGGCATATCGACCTCTCTCAACCCATTAAATAATTTCTTATTGGTCACTAATCAGTGAGGAAGTGGGAAAAGATTGATGAAGAAATCCCTAGGTGAGAAGGCCTGTGCTAGGAACTATTAAAAGCCTGAATCTTCATGAGTTTCTCTCCCACTTCTGCAGTTTTTCTTACAAAGGCCTCCAGGATGTTAGACCCCTAACTTGCTCATCTCATCTGATTAACACAGTGTCATCAATATAACAGAGCGTTATAATACTCTGTGAGGTGTCCAGATAGTTTTGTTCAGCTCTCTTCAAACCGTATTATGATGGAAGGCTGGAGCATTAATGTAGCCCTGGGGCAAAACCAGAAAGTAGGGGTGGGGGGTGGGTAGCAAACTCGTTCTATGAAGGGCCAGATGACAAATATTTTAGACTTTGTGGGACACATGGGATCTCTGTTGCATATTCTTCTCTGATTTTGTCACTGTTACTCTTTTACAAATCTTTAAAAATGTGAAAACCATTCTTAGTTGAAGGGCCGTAGGAAAACAGACTGTGGCAGCGGTGAGTAGGATTTGGCTGTTGCTGTAAAGTAATATTTAACCCATTTCATTTTTTTCTTTAAGGGAAGGTAAATTTATTCAGAGGGATACTCCATAGACAGTCTCAAAAGGCAAGAGACTACGCATTCCGATTTTAATGTGAAAACTTTCTGATTTTTTTTTTCTTGATTGGGATGGGGCCAAATTCATTTGCCAAATCCATGGCAACATATTATGTACCTGAAACCTTGGGAATCTGCTCTGGCAACAACGCCACATCCAGCACAGCAGTTGAGGTGGGGGCTGTATTGGCTGAACTTGGCAATGCCTGTAGTCACTCTTTTTAATTGGCAGACCACCCTTAGCCTCCTAATTGTCAACGCTAAGCAGCACCCTTGTTGGTTACCCATCTATTTCACCGTCTACGCAAGCCTTGTGGGTCAAGGCTCCTTGGCTGCCCCTCCTACCTCGCCTGCTCTCACACTAATTGTAGCCCTCGGCTGCCTGTGGTAAGGGCCGGCAGCTGGCTTCTGTTGCTCCAGGCCCCTGTCATCTCCATTACTGTTAGCAAGCTCCAGCTCTAGGACTTCCCCTTCTAGTCAGCCCTGACCTGCACAGGCGAGCCTCTGTTAAACTGCTGAGTGAGGCTGGCACCCCTCTGCTCAGTGCAGTATGATGACCTTGGCTAATAGCACACCCTGTGGGTCCTCCCAGGGAATATAGCCCTCAGTCAGTGGGTGTTCTGTCCTCCCAGAATAAATCCAAACAGCATTGCTACATCCCTGAACTATTGAGTCCTTTCCTGCACCTGCCTCAGCAACCCATGCATTTCACCTTCATTCAGAGCGATCCTCTGCTCTCTCCTAGCTTTTAAGATCCACTTAGATCTTAGTAGTGTCTGCCCCTTTCCTTGGCGTCCTTGCCAAGGTATGAAATCCCAAGTCCAGCGTCAATACATTATTACCTATCCATTTTTCTATTTCGGGCCCTTAACCAAATATCCACACAGTTCAGGTCCTGGGTTACTCCCCTGGCTCTTGTTAGTATGTGCTAGTTAATTCCTTTTAAAAACAGCTTTATTGAGATATAGTTCACACGCCATACAATTTACCCTTTTAATGTATGTAATCCAGTGGTTTTTCATATACTTACATTATTGTACAACCATCACCACTATCTAATTTTGGAACATTTTTATCCCCCGCCTCCAAAGAAACTCCAAACCTCATTAACAGTTGCTCTTCATTCCCCTACCCGCTCAACACAGCCCTAGATAACACCCTATTTGCCTTCTGTCTCTGTAGACTTAGCCTATTCTGGGCATTTCTTATAAATGAAATCATAAAATATATGACTTTTTATGCCTGCTTCTTTCACTTGGAATAATAGTTCTAAGATTCATCCATGTTGTAACATGAACCCACACACTTCTTTCCTTTTTATGGCCCAAATACCAAATTTTATTTATCCACTCATCAGTTGATGGACATTTGGATTGTTTCCACTTTTTAGCTATTATGAGTAATGCTGCTATGAACAGCATATGAATATCTGTATACAAGTTTTGTGTGGACATATGTTTCTTTTCTCTTGGGTATATCCTAGAAGTGGGATTGTTTGGTCACATGGTAACTCTATGTCTAACCTTTTGAGAGAGCTGCCAAATTGTTTCCAAACTGACTCTACCAGTTTACACTCCCATCAACAATGCCTGAAGGATCCTAATTTCTCCACCATGCTAGTTAATTCTTGTGTCTCCTTTAGAGTAAAATCTCTCTTCTCCTTTATGAGGCCACCTCTGCTGGCTCTGGGGGCTCTGGGAAAGTCTGCAGAGTCGCATTTCTCAGGGGCCTCCACCTAGATGTCCCTACCACATGTTTTAGGTCCCAGGTTTTTCCAATCTGACCCC